AACCTTCTGCCACAACAATCCTGCCCCCTTGACAATCGACCAATCACATTCACTTTATTCACAAGTGTAAAGTCATGCACCACTCGGGAGAATTCGGAACCGCAACAGTTGAAACAACCGCTTCCCTACGACTCTAATGGGGTTTTTTTGTTGTTGCTACTGGTGGGTTTTTTAATCAAACAGCATCTCTGTTGTTCATTAAATAAGTATTGCTAAAATGTTAGTCATTGCCTGTAGATGAGTCATTAGCTGCACTTCAAAAGAAAACTTTATCCCTGTAATTACTGCTGTTATTTATCAGATTTTAAGCCTCCTACACATTTTTTTTCTGACTCAGTCTTAAGTTTTGTCATTAAAAACAAAAATAGTTCTATGCATATTTTAAGTCAGAGCAATCCAAATAAGGGTTATCCCACAAAGCCCTATGCTGGATGCAAAATATTTTTATTAACCAAAACCTCTCAGTTAGCGTTTACTTCTATTTTATTAGCAGCACAGCATTATATCATAGATACTGTAATATTAGCATTGTGTTATAAAAAAGCTTTTATGTAAAAGGTTGTATTTAGGCTGAAATCTTGCCAATCCCTTGTCTCATTTCTTGTCTTGCTCACTAAATGTTGATCCTTTTGTGTTTGTTTAGTTCTTTCAACAGCCAGGCTCGATACCAGCAGAGGTTCTTGGGGCCCATCCAGCAGTCGGCCATTTTGGTTGTGGACCCCGCCAATGGCAGAATTCTAAAAGCCTCTGGCCGAAACATGTAAGATGTATATTGTTATACACAAGGCTGGCTGTTGTAAACTGTCTGTAGACCGAAACAAGATATGCGACAAGCAATGCTTCTCTGTACCTCCAATCCAGTTACAAATCTTTCTTCAACCCCACCCCTCCCTTATCCCCCTCTCTTTGCACCAGTCACATATTTGGATTAAATGATGCTCAGCCAATTAGCATCAACTTGATGTTTGGCAAAGAATTAAGCAACGTGTTACTTTTTAATGCTGTTAGACTTTAACTTTTATATAATAATATTTTAACTTTATTGATCTCACATTGGAGAGATTTACCTCTGCATTTAACCCATCCCCTTGGGGAGCAGTGTGGGGTTAAGGTTCTTGACAGAGAGCCAGAGTGGCAGTCTGTGGGAGTGGGGCTCGAACTCAGAACCTCAGGATTCCAAGCTCTATGCCCTAACCACTAAGCCTGACGTAGTCCTACTCAAATCTAGTCAGAATATGAGTCTGATACTGCTCCATAGAGCTGTGATTATGGGGCGTGTTTCAAACAGACCAGGGGAAAAAAATGCCTCTGCACTCAATTGGATAGACCT